TCCCTGTTTATGGCGTTGTTTGCCCACCTTCCCACCATCCTCCTCTTCCCAAGTCCCTCTGGAGCCATTGGTCCTGTTGTTGCTTTCTCCTCTCCAGCTTGCTTCCCATGCCTATCTTATATAAGTAGGCAAACCAACAAGCAAAAACAAAAGATTGAATAAAGAGGGAAAAAAAGATAACTGGCAAACAAACAAAGAAAGCATACATAATTCCAAGTCTGTCCGCTAACCTTTGGGACTATCTCCCCACTGGTCCTGGGGGAATTCTGGGAGCTGCCCCTCCTAGCCTGAAGTCTATTTTGGGGGCTCCTCAGGGGCTTTGTGGCTTTGCTTTACTCCCATTGCTGATCTGTTATGCTCCCTTCTTGGTTTGCCCCATTATCAGGCTAACTCCCCACTGTGTGTCCCCAGTATCGTCCTCTGTCTCGGTGTGCTCCAGTGAGGGGACATCACGCATGACACACAGCCTGTATTGTGAATATATTCCTCAAAGCTGCACAACTTGGCAACTCTGAGCTTGGCTACACAAGTACATGTATCCACAAATTTTTTTCTTTTATGATGCTGACAGTATTGTTTTATTTGTAACTCAGGAAATTTACTTTTTATTTCTTGTTTATAGGTGTTGCTGTTAGTTCCGACTCACAGCTACCCTATGTAAAGCAAAAGGAAATACTACCTAGTCTTTTGATATTCTCACAATTCCTCCAATGTTTGAGTCCATTGTTGCAGCTATGGTGTCAATCCAACTCTTTGAGGGTCTTCCTTTTTCTAAGCAGGATGTCTTTCTCCAGGAACTGGTCCCTTCTGATAGCATGTCCAAAGTATGTAAGATAAAGTCTCACCATCCTTGCTTCTAAAGAGCATTCCACTTCTTTGTTCAGTCTTCTGAACTCCAAGACACATTCAATATTTTTTTGCCAACAACATAATTAAAAGGCATCCATCCTTCATTCTTCTAGACTTATTTGCAAGCATACGAGGTGATTGAAAACACCATTGTCAGGGACACCTTCACCTTCAAAGTAACATCTTTGCTTTTTAACACTTTTAATGGATCTTCTGCAGCAGGTATTCTCAAAGCAATACATTGTTTGACTTCCTAAAAGCTGTTTGCATGGACACTGTGAATCCCAGTAAAACGAAATCCTTGACAACCTCAATCTTTTCTCCCTTTATAGTGTTGTTGTTCATTGGTTGAGTTGTGAGGATTTTTTTTTTCTCTATGTTGAGGTGCAATCCATATTGAAGGCTGTAGTCTTTGATCTTCATCAATAAGGATATATCATAGGTGTTAACTTTTAAATTAGTTAAGCAGTTTTTAAAAAGCATTTTATTTCAGTCCAATGAGACTGTAACTTTTTACAGGAGTAGAAAGCCTCATCTTTATTTTAAAGAGCAACTAGTGGTTTCAAACTGCTGATCTTGAGGTGAACAGCCCAACGAGTA